GTGTTTGTGAGAGGTTTTTCTCAAGGTTTTTCACCAAGATGAAGAAGACCTTCCATGTATCATGATCACTCTATTTAAAGAGTCATGTTTGCATGTTCATGCAAATTTGAGATCACCAAATTTTGACACTTAAAATTCCACTCAAATGTTTGGGATTATGTGGCAAGCATGCATGTTTGAGTTAACCAAATTTTGACACTCAAAATTCCACTCAAATTTGTGGGGTTTATTTGGCAAACATGCAAGTTTGGTTAAACCAAATTTTGACACCTCAAAATTCCACTAACATGGATTTTTCCATTAGATGAAAGTCAACATTTTGACTTTCTTCATTTTAATTCAACAATTAATTTGAATAATGAATTTCAAATTAAAGTAACATTAAATGATTAATTAAACTATTTAATTAATATTTAATATTAATTCAAATGTCAATCCCAATCAATTCCGACACATAATTGATTAAGATATTTAAATCTTATTTAAATATCTCAGATTCTCTCTTTTTGTTTAATTCGTAAATAAAACAAAATTGCGGTTAAATATATCGTATATATGTAACGCATATTCCCTAATTTGAATTCGAACACTTCGAACTCACTCGTCACACTGTTCTATAGTTTAGTCCGATATGAGCTAGCAGAGGGACCTAATGGACCTATAGATCATAGGCTTCAACGATCCAAGATTAATCGGTTTAAACTCATTAACCTGGTTAACCAACATTCGTTAACTACTAGGACACTCCACTATAGCCTAGTAGTTGCACTCCCTCACTATAGATATATTTTTGTCCATCTGATATAACCATGATTAGTAAGTCGATCCTTCACAGGTTGTTCGTAACTAGAGCTGGGTCAATTTACCGTTTTACCCTTGAAGTTACTTCTTGTTCCTTATGTCTCACTGATCCTCTAATGAACAATTGGTTTGTGGTCCAACCAGTAAACCAAATCCCTCTCAGGCCAATGAGAGGGTGGGGCTCCTTGTTCAAGACCTGGAGTCAGTGCTTAAGGAAACTACCTTTCTTCTATCCCTAAAAGTGGGTAGAAGTGAATTCCGTCTTGCACCCCACGTCCCTAGCCATTCACCCAGTCTTACCCCTGAAATGGGAGGCCTGTTGAGTCGGCGAACTAGAGCCACTCTCACCCATGCAAATCTAAGGATAATTCCGAATAAACAGGAGTTCATGGTTAGCTCAGGATTAAAACCGAGTTACCTAGGTTATCGAATGAAAAGAAAATCAGTCTCAATAGTAAACGACATTATAAAGTGAGAGTGGTTTTCTTCATGGTCCGATCTTATGCAATACTCATTGCATAGGACGCCCCCACTCACATGTCTCCACATATACAATTTAGTGATCACATTGTTTATATCATATACAAAAGCGGGCCGCATCCATATGTTGGTGTTAATATAACACATGCGGAAGCAATTTGGATCTTAGGCCCTTTTAGAACATCAATTATTGTAAATTACTAGCATGTTCATAAGTATTAAAACTTAATGAGTTTAAATACTAATCTTTTGTAGTTCAAACTCCTTTTGTCTCACGAACCGGTTTTGAACCACCACTAGTGTCTTCTCCACTATCCTCCGGCCTTAGAACGGGATTGTGGAATCCGGTGAGTGACTAAACTTGGGAGGGATTTTGTATATGTGAAAGAGAGTGTTTGTGAGAAGTTTTTCTCAAGGTTTTTCATCAAGATGAAGAATCCCCTCCAAGTATCATGATCACTCTATTTAAAGAGTCAAGTTTGCATGTTCATGCAAACTTGAGATCACCAAATTTTGACACTTAAAATTCCACTCAAATGTTTGGGATTATGTGGCAAGCATGCATGTTTGAGTTAACCAAATTTTGACACTCAAAATTCCACTCAAACTTGTGGGGTTTATTTGGCAAACATGCAAGTTTGGTTAAACCAAATTTTGACACCTCAAAATTCCACTAACATGGATTTTTCCATTAGATGAAAGTCAACATTTTGACTTTCTTCATTTTAATTCAACAATTAATTTGAATAATGAATTTCAAATTAAAGTAACATTAAATGATTAATTAAACTATTTAATTAATATTTAATATTAATTCAAATGTCAATCCCAATCAATTCCGACACATAATTGATTAAGATATTTAAATCTTATTTAAATATCTCAGATTCTCTCTTTTCGTTTAATTCGTAAATAAAACAAAATTGCGGTTAAATATATCGTATATATGTAACGCATATTCCCTAATTTGAATTCGAACACTTCGAACTCACTCGTCACATTGTTCTATGGTTTAGTCTGATATGAGCTAGCAGAGGGACCTAATGGACCTATAGATCATGAGCTCCAACGGTCCAAGATTAACCGATTAAACTCATTAACCTGGTTAACCAACATTCGTTAACTACTAGAACACTCCACTATAGCCTAGTAGTTGTACTCCCCTCACTATAGATATATTTCTGTCCATCTGATATAACCATGATTAGTAAGTCGATCCTTCACAGGTTGTTCGTAACTAGAGCTGGGTCAATTTACCGTTTTACCCCTGAAGTTACTTCTTGTTCCTTATGTCTCACTGATCCTCTAATGAACAATTGGTTTGTGGTCCAACCAGTAAACCGAATCCCTCTCAGGCCAATGAGAGGGTGGGGCCCCTTGTTCAAGACCTGGAGTTCTTGTTCCTTATGTCTCACTGATCCTCTAATGAACAATTGGTTTGTGGTCCAACCAGTAAACCGAATCCCTCTCAGGCCAATGAGAGGGTGGGGCCCCTTGTTCAAGACCTGGAGTCAGTGCTTAAGGGAACTACCTTTCTTCTATCCCTAAAAGTGGGTAGGAGTGAATTCCGTCTTGCACCCCACGTCCCTAGCCATTCACTCAGTCTTACCTCTGAAATGGGAGGCCTGTTGAGTCGGCGAACTAGAGCCACTCTCACCCATGCAAATCTAAGGATAATTCCGAATAAACAGGAGTTCATGGTTAGCTCAGGATTAAAACCGAGTTACCTAGGTTATCGAATGAAAAGAAAATCAGTCTCAATAGTAAACGACATTATAAAGTGAGAGTGGTTTTCTTCATGGTCCGATCTTATGCAATACTCATTGCATAGGACGCCCCCACTCACATGTTTCCACATGCACAATTTAGTGATCACATTGTTTATATCATATACAAAAGTGGGCCACATCCATAGTGTCCCTAGAATAAGGTACTCAGCCTTATCCTTATACTATAGATCATTTTGACTATATACTTGAACTTGATCCACTCTTATGTCTCTACATATAGTTCAAGTAATCATACTATAGCCAGAGTGTTCTTAATTTATTGGATTTAGATTAATGATCGTAAAGTTCACTTTATTCAATAACATTTTTTACTGAATAAACATTAATAATAACTTTATTGAAAATAGAATATATCTTTGTTTACAAACTATGAGTTTTAGGACATAAAACCCAACAGATATATGCATGGAAAGTAAGATAAAATGATATGATACAAAGGAAGGCGGAAGAGGCGTTGTTGTACATGATAATGAAAGGAAAAATGTTGGGACCTCATGCATCATTGTATGTTCATGCATAGGGAGATACCCCTTCTTTTACGATGGTACGGATGCGTATACTACGAGGCAGAGAAACGATCATTATATTTATTATAATGTTGCGACGGTCGCTATTCCTAATGAGTGTCCGACATCAATAGCTCCAGAGAATGCTTGCTCGACAAGAAAGGGGCTTAAGAGGTGTGCAAACCGACTAGTGGGTCTATACTCATTCGTGGACCGTGTGTAGAACAGTAAGTACACATCCAACTCTTATTTTTTTTAGGTAAAGGCAAGGCTTCTTGTACGGTTGACGGTGACATTGCAACTCAAGAGACCATGACACATGCATAGAGTAGTTTGAAATTTAAATTTTATAGACTATAAGTTAGTATGCGTTTAATTTCGTAGCATATAGGTTAGTATATGACATTTTTACTTTATGTTATTTCAATTTATGTTACTTTATTTAAAGACGTTCTAAAAAACAAGTAAATCCATGACTATGTTTTCATAATAAAGTTTTGAATGAAGTATTTCTGCATAAATATCTATGATATGTATACCGTAACGACTTTAGGTTAAGTAGAAATCTAGGGTGTGACAAAATTATATTACGACATCTCTTATAAATTTGTGAATAAAAAAAATGTTAAATAGCCCATAAATAAAAATCTATTAAACACAAAATAAAAAATTTAGAATTTATTAAACTATAAACTTCATGATCTATTAAACATAAAATTAAAAATTACTCCGTTAAACTATCTTTAAAATTTAATAAATAGGTCCTTAAATTTTGAATATTTAAGAACACACTAAACTTTAAAGCATCTAAAAGATTCACGATCTTTATAGCATCTAATACTTAAAATTTTAATCTCTTGTATCGTAAATTTTTTTGAAAGAGCTTCAAATAGACAAAAATATAGATGATTAATACGTATTCTTTCCAAGTTTATATCTCTATGTTTTGAATAGGAGCGTTAAAAAAATTCGATGACCCAAAATCCTTATCCAACCCAACCTAACTTACAATTTGGGTTGAGATATGAACTTAAACGAACTGAGTTCAAATAAATAAAAACCTTAGGATTGGATTGAATCCAATCCACTTGAATTTTTGGTTGATTTTAGAAAATATATACAATTTTCTTATTATACAAATAATGCATACATATATTTATTTATTTTTATTTAATTTCATAAATATTTTTTAATTACTTATACTCCAAAATTTTTAAGTAATTTTTTAAAATATATATTAAAAGGTAAATTTTAATTAAGGTTTGAAAATAAATAAATAAATAAATAAATAAATAAATAAATAAATAAATAAATAAATAAATAAATGTGTTACAAACCTAATTGAGGAATCCCAAGGCGTATTTAGGGACTAAGTTGTAATTTAAACCCAATTTAAATTTTGTATAAAAAAGGCCTAAACCCTACAATCCTTCCTCTTTCCCCCACCCCCACTTCTGGTCTTCAGTTTTGTTATATTGTTACCGCAGTCGAACGCCGGCACCCCTCACTGTCCCATTCACTTTCTTTCTTCTCTCCCTCTCTGCTGCAGCCGTAAGCTGCTGGCTGTCCAGCATCCCTCCACTGCCCCCACCGGGTTCTTTTCCTTCTTCTCTTCCTATCTCTTTCTGCCGCAACCGCACGCCGGCGAGTCACCCTCGTGTTCTGCCGCAGCCGCACCAGTGTCGACTACCTTCTTTTGCAGCTGTCCGTCGCCGTGGTCCACTCCAGTCTTCCCCCACACTTTCCATCTTCTTCCAGTCGCTCGCCGTCGAGGTCTTTTGGGTTGGACCAACTCCGGGTAAAATTCGAATTAGGTCATTTTTAACATAAAATCCTTCCATTGAAAGCCAATCATATTTATGAAGTATCTTGATGACTCTAGGGACCTTAAAAGTTATTTTTATGGATTCCAAGAGTGCTGTTGTATCTTTTTGAATTCTTTACTGGGAGACTGGGTCGGGTTATTGCCTGAGACGGTTTCCGTAGAAGCATATACTCGTTGTTTTATAGTTGCCTCTTGTAAATTTTTTTTTGGTAGTGGGAGACACAAGAATGTAAAATTCAAATATGTATTCAATACATAAAAATGGTTTACTAATCAAGGGGTAGCGTTTAAAATAATAATAAAAGGACAAGAAAGAAGACTACTCGTCCGCCATTAACAAGTCTACACTCTTATCGGACAAAAATAAAATAAAATAACATGAGATGAGTATAAAATACTCAGTAACTAATCTACTTGTAGTCTTTTAGAAAACTTAAACTTAGGCTATGTGAAAACTTAAACTTAGGCTATGTGCTCAACGGTGATAGAGGTCACCAAATAAAGTTTGTAGTGACCTGCACCCAAATAAAGTTTGTACTAACCTTTGCAGGTCACTATGTAACTAAACCCTCATTATACCTCATTAAGGAGTATTCTAACTCTCTTAAGTTCATAAATTGGTTTTTTTTTTTTTTTTTTTTTTTTTGCTCTAGGTTTCACGTATGTCTAGGTTCTTGCGAAGTGCGCCTCGAGTCGTTGTGGCCCATGGAAAGGCCCTAGGGTAATACTCATAGTACTTGAGGAGCCCTTTTTGCTCTAACATGGTAACTGTACTCCATACAACCTACTGAGCACTAAGCGAAGGGTTCTCCCTAGTGGTGTTGGACAACATCTTCCTGTCTCTAAGATCAGTAAAATACCTATACTCTACCTTTCCAGGCTGGAATAGTAACTACCTGCTCATGTACCTTCTTGGGTTAGAACAATAAAACTACATGTCTTAGGAACAATAGCTATTTGTTACTTTGCCTTTTCAGGCTAAAACAGTAAACTACTTGTCACTACGCCATTTAGGTTGGAATAGTAAAAATGCCATGGCTCCCCACTAGGCATGGCCGATAGTACTTCAGTAGTATACCTTATGTGGCCCCTGGAATCCACCATAGGTGACAATTAAGCCATGTGTAACAAGTAGACCCTAACCCCTGTTTGGTTTACGAATAGGGGTTGCACCCTATTCGTTCCTATAAGGAACTTGGTCAACCCAAGGGGGCTATGGAACTCATGACTAGGTGCTAGGACCAAAATACGTGAAACATTAACTTGTATCCCATGGAGACCAAGACTAACACTCTATGGCGCATAGCGATAGTCTAACTCACAAGTGTTACCAGCTATCCAAACCCTAAATCATGCATAATGAACGTATAAAGGCATACAACATGCTCATTATGCCCATTCAGTGATGATAAACCAACCTCAACATACTGGAAAGCATAAAAGTCTAATAAACTATCAGAGTTCACAAATCATGCGTGTGGATAGTTAGAATTGAATTATAAACTTATTCACATTATCTAAACTTAATTATCACGATGCTAGATCAATTAGGCTTCTAATCATGATACTCAGGCATTTTTCCTCGATCCTAATCGACTCATACAACTATTTCTTAGAACTTGCTCCATGTGGTTACTTGTTTGTCCACTTCCCGAGCTTGGTTCAGGTCTTCAAGTTCTCTAGAATTTCTCACTATGCCCTAAATTAAGTCAAAAGAATATAACCGGTAAAAATGGCTTGAAGAATGAATTCCAAGAAGCTTCAAATTCCTTAAAAAAGGGATGTAGGCTGAGAAACTAACGGTTGACTATATGGTTATCTTTTCCAACTTGTGTGCGTGCCATTTTGTTTTTCTTTCTACTCTTTTTTTTTTTTTAAAAAAAAAAATTCTTTTATTTATTTTCTTAAAACTCTAGATGTTACACCTTTTTTATTTCCTCGAGTCAATGACCACGTTACGACAGCTAAGTTTCTAATGGAATTTGAGCATGGAAAGGACCCTCTAATTGATTTGTTGTTTAGTCTGCTAAAAAACATTTTCTAGGAAAGAGGTGAAGAGTGGTTCGAGTGAATATATAGGGATTAGGGACTTACTAGAGAAGGATCTCATCTAGATGACAGAAGGATTTTTATTTATTTGTTTATTCTCTAGATTCCAATGATTCAGTTGTATCTTTTTTAATTCCTCATTGGTAGAGAGGCTGAGTTGCATTATTTTCCTTGGACGGTTTCAATAGTAGCATCTACACGTGTATTAGTTCCCCTATGTTTCCCCTTTGTTGTCAGTCGCCGATGCAAACTCATTCATATTATGAAGAAATCAAAATGATGTATATCGAGTTCTTGTGAATATAGAGATGAGTGAAGAAAGGAATTAGCACGTATTGAATTTGAAGAAAAATTAATGGAAAAAATGGTGTTTCAATTGTGTTGTATGCACATTATTTATTTTCGAAGGATGCTGTTTTAGCACATTGTTATGGCCTATTATCTAATGTTTGGCTATTGTTTTTTCTTTTCTCCCTTTGAGAGGTTTTCCTTGAACTTTTTGTGTTGTATGCACATGAATGTGTATGTACTTTAGTGCATTGTTCTATTTGGTTGTATGTAGTGCATTTTTTTTGTGGTGAACCTTGGAAGGGAATCAGTAGTACTAACTTATATGTAAATAGTGTTTAAGTTTCTAGCATTGATAGTTGATGGAAATTATGTTTTTTTTTTTCAATCTTAATTTTAGTGTTAGGAAATGTCAGATGAGTACTTGAACCACTATGAAAAATAAAAGAGCACCGTCAATGGCATGTTGACACATTATTTTCTATGAATCAATGTGATAATTTTTCTGAAGAATATATTACGTGTTCATATATATATATATATATATATATATATATATATATATATATATATATATATATATTTCTTGAATGAGAGGTGGATTCTTTTGATAGACCCCTTTTCTTTTTATGTTTTGTAGTTCTTGCTAGCAATTTTTGGGTTTTGTAAAACAAGGGAGTGGAATTATACGCCCAAAAACTCATGGTCTATTTTTCCTGACAGGCAGGTCAACTTGCTATTTTACCTCTTATTTGCGTCCATTTTTGACAAAACTTCATTATCTTTGTTTATATATATCTATATATATAATCTCAGGTGAGGTTGTGTTGCATAAAGGATTTTGAGACGCTACAGGCTCCAAGTGAGCAGACATGGGAGTTCCAGCCTTCTATAAGTGGTTAGCGGAGAAGTATCCATTGGTAGTTGCGGATGTAATAGAGGAAGCACCCATTGTAATAGATGGCGTCGCCATTCCAGTTGATACAAGCAAACCCAATCCAAACAATCTTGAATTTGATAACCTCTACCTAGACATGAATGGCATTATTCATCCATGCTTCCACCCAGAAGATAGGGTAAACATTTGACACATATATTGAGTTCTCTCTCTCTCTCTCTCTCTCTTTTCTCGCATCATATAGCTATGTCATTTGTGGTGTTTCATTTTAGATAACATTGCAAATTTGTGGCGGAGAGTGCCAAGCTTTAATTTAATAAATTTAAGCAACGTTGGTCAGGATCAATTTTTCTTTGATGAAAAGGGAGATAACATAGTCAGTCCACGTACAACCTGATGTAGAAATTCTTTCACTTGATGTCAAGTCAAGGGACCAAAGCCAATAAATTTGGGCTAGTAATCTCACATGCTAGAATAAGTAATTGTACTTTCAGTTTAGGAACATGCCTATTCTCCACGGAAGAAAAGCCTAATACATTTAAATTTTGTTGTCGTCTAATATATATATTTTTTTGATGTTGCTTGATCGTTCTATTTTACTGGTGCAGCCTTCTCCAAGAACTTTTAGCGAGGTATTTCATAGCATGTTTGATTATATTGATAGGCTTTTTGTCATGGTCCGGCCTAGAAAATTGCTATACATGGCTATTGGTGAGTTCCCAACTTTATTTATTTATGTTTTGTTGCTTCAAATTGGTTAGACGAAGGAGTGGTAATGTTTGTTTTTAATGTTTATTTCCTGTTGAAATGAATGTATAGATGGTGTTGCCCCTAGGGCAAAAATGAATCAACAGCGATCTCGACGATTTAGAGCTGCAAAAGATGCAGTAGAAGCGGTATGTGCTTTTGTTTGATAGTCTTTTCCTGGGTTGAAGGGTGTAAACCACCTTCCTGACTATTACATGTCTAATAAGTTCCTTGACTACCACTTGTATTAGATGATATGGTTGTAACTTGTACTTGACAGTTTTAGATTTGATGGTATTGAGTCTTAAGTTTATAGAGAGTTCAAGTTGATTTCTCAAAATTAGTACATGTCAGACATTGCATTGACTGTGCCCCTCTCCTTTATCACCTCCAGTTGGAGTGTTTTGTTGAATTCATTTCAAGGAAGCTTTTTGTATCTTCCATTCATTTGAATGAACTTCTAGTTAGTAGAGTTGGGTGCTAAAATCCTGTTTTTATTTATTTATTTTATGAATAACTTACAAATATGTTCTGCGTATAAAAAAGTTGGTAGGATATTGCTTTTGGCTATCTCTTTTCCTGCCTTAGTATGATGTATAATTGAAGTGTTCAACTGCATCAATTTCACGTGAACGATTATGTACAGAGAAGATAATCTCCTGGTATGAGTATTTAATAAACTATGTTTTTTTTTTCTCTTAGGCCGCTGAAGAGGCACGATTAAGACAGGAGTTTGAGAGGGAGGGACGAAAGCTTCCTCCAAACGAAGAGTCACAAGTTTTTGATTCCAATGTGATCACTCCTGGAACTGACTTTATGTCTGTTCTTTCCGTTGCTTTGCAGTACTACATTCATCTTAGACTAAACAACGACCCAGGTTGGAAAGGTATTAAGGTAAACATGACATGACTATTACTTGTATCCTAAAACCGGTAGTTTCACTGAATAGTGAATCCAGTTTTGCCCGATTTTAAGTGCTTTTAAAATGTGAAGGTTATTCTTTCTGATGCCAATGTTCCGGGTGAAGGGGAGCACAAAATAATGTCCTATATTCGTCTTCAGAGAAATGTTCCTGGTTTTGATCCCAATACTCGTCACTGCCTGTATGGTTTGGTATATTTTTTTTCTCCATGCTTATTTTATGTAATTCACATACCTCTTGATTGTATGTGTTTTTTTAAAATTAGAGTTTTCATGATTTCATCACCTGGTTGTTGAATACAGCGTATCACTTGATTTTACAATTTCAGGATGCAGATTTGATAATGTTAGCTTTGGCTACCCATGAAGTCCATTTTTCAATAATGCGTGAGGTTTGTATTTTTGCTTATATTTTGGCTACGCTGCTGCAGTTTTTGGAGAATTTGGTATCACTCCCTTCCTGAGGACATGACACATGTTCATTATTTAAAATATTCAATGCATGTGCATTATACTTCATGAACCAATAACAACCATTGTTTCTTGGTGAACTTCAGATCATGTTCACTCCTGAACAGCAAAAAAAGTGCTTTCTAGCTGACCGTAAACGTAAAGCAAAGAGAAAGGCTAGTGAGTTTGATGCGAAAGGGGAAGGTGTAGTTAAAAAACCTTACCAGGTAGGATTTCCTCATATTTGTTCTTAGTTCTCTGGTGGAATAATGGGTCAAATTCTTTGTCCTATATCTGTTATTTACTTTGTATGGTCCTTTTATTATGCAGTTTCTCCATATATGGATACTTAGAGAGTACTTGGAACGTGAGATGTGTATTCCTAATGCTCCCGTTGAAAGTGACGTTGAACGCATTGTGGATGATTTTGTGTTCATGTGTTTCTTTGTTGGTAATGACTTTTTACCTCATATGCCCACATTAGAGATTCGGGAGGTAGAGTCCATACTTGAACTTACCATTTATAAGTTAATGAAGTTTTGTTTGACCTCCAAATGGAATTGTTCTATTCAAGATTTCGGGAATTCCATTTTTTTCTTTTCTAAATTTTGTTATTTTTGGATGTTTGATTTCAGTTAACTTGTCAGCTCTTTGTTAAGGGTAAAATAATTTTTTTAGGGAAGTGAGCGTTCAGCTTGTTAGCCTTTATGAAGAATGAAAAAGCAGATACATAGAGGAATATTGCCACTGAGGAAGAAATTTAAAAAAATATTGATAATCTCATAACTTGGAACAAAAAAAGAATTATAAGTGTACACCATTAAACAAAAGTCGTGTTTATGGAAGTTACGTGTAGAGGTTGATTATTGTCAGCCTTTTAATCCAAGGTTCGATCAGCTATATGAGCAAAAAGTTGTATGTTTTGTCTTGGACGTCATATGTTGGTCGATGTGGTTCCGTCTTGGCAGATATATCCTAAGAGGTTTAGGTGACTTTTCTTCTTGCAATTACAAGTATTCGAAGAATTTGGATTGTTTTTAGGTGCAAGTTAGAATGGAGGTATTATTTTTTTGTTCTTTAATTCCAGGGTGCAATTGACTTGCTATTGACTGTGTATAAGAAGAAAGTAAGGGAAGTTGGTGGGTATTTGACTAAAGGAAGCAAGGTAATTCCTTTTCCTTTTTGGTTTTTGATTTTATGCTATAATTTACATTAACATCTGTGAGCTCAGGCATGAAATGCTTTACTGTGGGTCTTATGTCAGCCAAATTTGCGCATAGTGGAACAATTTATTCAAGCTGTTGGAAGTAATGAAGATAACATATTCCGAAGAAGAGCTAAACGGCATAAGGTTCTCTTCTTTCTTATGTATACATGTTTTATGCGTTATTTATCCCATCATCTTTCTCGTTTTGAGGTGAGAATTAGGGAGATTTTTTTTTTTTTTTTTTTTTTTTTTTTTTTTTTTTTTTTTTTTTTTTTTTTTTTTTTTTTTTTTTTT